GTAAAAAAAATACACCATAAAACAGTTTAAACAGAAGAAAAACATATAAGTAAAGTATTATTGAACTAAATACAGTGCTGATAAAATGATGGGCTGCAGGTTTCTGTCTTCAACAGGACATCGTGTGGGTGGACTGCAGACCTGCCATCGGTCCACTGTCCACCTGTTTGTCCAGGAGCCCGGCTGACGGCTGCCTGTCTCTGAAATGATTTAAGAAAGGCTTTGTGACTGAACATTTAGGCTAGCATCAGTTACTGCTGTGTGTTTGACCTGCCTCAACAACAGTCATGATGCACTGGTGCAGAAACATCTGCTGCAGTTTCCTGCTCATCCTCAGGCTCGTCCCCGGGGCCATGATGTCACCAGGCCTGAGGCAGATGTTGTTATGACCTGAGAACATGCAGTTTGTCCCTGTAAACATCTGTTTACTGGACATCATGAGGTCCAACATGAGGAGAGTTAGATGTTCATCACTGCAGTCCTCTGGTCTGATCTGAGAACAACATCATGATTGTTTCTGTGGCATAAATTTATTTAAATAGAACTACTTGTTCAGATACACGTTACTGACTTTCATTCTCAGAAAGATGAAATTCTGGCGCTAATCTTATTCCTAATTTTCTCATAATTAGGATTAGGATTAGGACCACTGTTAAATTTAATATCACTAATTATTTTAGTTACATTTAAATATAACAAGTACATTATAAGTACTTACATTTAAATATAACAAGTACATTATAAGTAGTTACATTTAAATGTCACTAAAATGAGTTAGGCCTATTACTTACATTTAAGATCAATTTTCAGAAAGTACTTGATAAAGCAAATATACATGTGTTTTCAGATGGTAAATTACCATTTACTGTACTGAAAGAAGTTTATAAAATGAAGTTCTGTTTGAGTCTTGAGATAAATAAAAGCAGCAAACCTCAGTAACTGGGATGTTTGCAGCTACATGACGCAGCTTTGATGCCTCACCGTACGCAGAAACAAACGTTTCTTACCTGGTCTGCTGTCACACTGAAACACATGACAGGCCCACAGGCTCACCATGGTAACGACTCWCAGCGTGTCCACGGAAACATGTGTCTTCTGTAGGCTGGACTGCCCACGTGGGCTGCAGCCTACGGCCCACGTAGGCTGCAGCCCACAAACTGAGACACAGCCTCTTTCAGGTGAAACAGATCTTCTCACCAGACCAGAAGAAAACAGAAATTACCCATAATTCAGTCTGGCTGTAAACAGGGCCTGGTGTGTGTGTGTGAGACAGGTTCAGTGGTTCTGATCCAAACTCGTGGATAATGACTTTAATTGACGCCCGTTACTGTTTCAGTCTGACAACAAGTCTGAGCAGCTTCAGCAGCAAACTGAAGAATGTTCACCCTGGAGCCCAAAGCAAGGAGTGGCTCCAGAACCGTCTGGGTTCTGCAGCATGACCCGGTTCTGCATGAGGACCTGTTGTTTCTGCTGCATCAGATCYAACCTGTTTTACTTCATGAATTTATTTCATGTTTCAGACAAATAACTAAATGAAATCTGAAGATTTCAGAACAAAGAACCAGAACCTGCTTTACATGTAAAAACTGATCTGAGACCTGGACCTGGACCTGGACKTGGACKTGGACCTGGACKTGGACCTGGACATGGACCTGGACATGGACCTGCAGCAGGAGGAGGGACAGAACCCTGCAGCTGTCCTCAGGACACACACAGGGACACACACACACAGGGACACACACAGGACTCTGAACTCTAAGAAACAAAGTGATGACAGGAAAGATTGTGTTTAGTTTTGAACCATGAACCATTCTTGGCTCTGAGGCCAGTTGGTAAAACTCACCTGTCTGCAGGCTGATGACATCATCTGCACCTGTCTGAATCACAGGTCATTTCTTAATTGTTATCAGAACCGTTAATTTAACCTAATAATCAGATGTTAAATTCAGCTCGTGCTGATGTGAGGACTTTATCTCGCCTTTTAAAGCGCTGATTAATAATTTGTCTTCAACCTCCCGCRGAACACGACCCAACAGAACCGTGGTTCGGTTCTTTAAGCGGTTAGATAAAGCTGAAGGTTTGAAGGTTCTGGATGATGTCAGTGAGGAGAAGAAGGTTAAAGCTCACCTGTCTTGTCGTCCTCACTAACTGCTCAGTCAGGACGCAGCGTTCACCTGCATTCAGTGCATGAACCAGACTTCTCACATTTTTTACACCCGTTTAACAGAACCCATCAGAACAACGGGTCCAGGTGGTTCTGAGGGAGCCGACTGTGGTTCCTCACGGATCACTGAAGTCCTCCCGTCTCATCGGCTCTGAAGCAACTGAAGATGAATAATCATCGTGTCTCAGACAGCCCACTCACACAACGGACTATATTTGTTGGCGGAGGAACACGTGATACAAAGTACTGGTTCATGAGATTTGGTCCAGATTATTTTACAGATTATTTTACAGAGGATTCTAAT